CCCAATTCATTTCTAGCTTTTGGCCCATGTTCAAATCGGAAGAAGGGTGCTCAGGAAACAAGTTATGGCAGCCCTCCAACAACCGGAGGGTTACTTGAAACGGCTCAGCATGACGAAGATCCACCACAGTCTCCAAAATCCATTGCTATAAAGCAGGACCCGTGATACCAACTTAGATTTGCAGAGAGATCTGCAAAAAGATGCGAGAGGCTAGGATTTTGAAGGGATAGAGAAAAATAAAAATATCCATTGAATAAATGAAAGTAAGAACTATAGAGGTCCACATATTGACTTATATACAAGGAATAACAATTGACACTTTTAGCACCATAATATTATAACTCTCGATCAAATATTTGTTAGCCAACACTATCACATATACCTATCGATGCAGGCCGGTTTTTTAAGTGACAAGTTCGAAAAACACATACCTAACACATTTGCCACTATTATCATAGTCGAACGAGTAACGTGTCAATGGTTCTTAGGATCGCGTTAATGCAAATTGGTGAGATGTCGACTCGATGATTTGACAATTTCAAAAAAAAATGTTCTTTACAAATGGACCCCACATACTTCAACTAGGTTAGTACATCACTTGTTCCCATGTGACAATGCATTAGTGATGTCTTTCAAAATTTCCACATTAGGGTACAGAAAGAAAGAGATGGGAATGAGAAAAAATTGAGAAAGATTTTGATGTAGGCCAATATTATTTATTGGTGTTTGTCTTGTGTTTAATACAAACACTAAATAAGTCAAAAAGGAAGTCCGACATTTGTCAATAATTTTGTGTTGTGTGTTTAAAGTGTGAAGTTGACGGTTATTCGCTCTCGATCACAATACGAAAATCTACAATGATAATAAAGCAATCAAGATTAATTGATAATTAAATTTAACCGGATTAATTCTAAATTTAGTGGCCTGAGGCATCATAAGCTATAGTGACTAGAAGTTGTCTCAGGTAATTAAGGGGGAGTCTGGGCGCGATTAAAAACTGATTATATGTAACTATATTACCGTTGAGGCGTGCAACGGTAAAAAATCGGATAAATGGACTGAATGTTATGTCAGAGCAAAATTCCAAATGAAGCCCACCATTACGTTATGTGTCAGAAAATTTCAGGGCCATCACGTAAAAGTGAAGGCAAAATAGTCATTCACCCATGTAAATTTATTTGACTAACCACAATCTGCTTACACGTGGTCAATCATAAACGGTTCCAAAATCGATTTTCATTAAGTGAGAATCGC